CCGAAGAATTGATGCTTTTGAACTGTGGTGTTGGAGAAGACTCTTGAGAGTCCCTTGGACTGCAAGGAGATCCAACCAGTCCATCCTAAAGGAGATCACTCCTGGGTGTTCATTGGAAGGACTGATGCTGAAGCTGAAACTCCAATACTTTGGCTACCTCATGCAAAGAGTTAACTCATTGGAAAAGACCCTGATGCTGGGAGGGATTGGGGGCAGGAGGAGAAAGGGACAACAGAGGATGAGATGGCTGGATGGCATCATCGACTCGATGGACATGAGTTTGAGTAAACTCCGGGAGTTGGTGATGGACAGGGAGGCCTGGCATGCGCAATTCATGGGATCGCAAAGAGTCGGACATGACTGAGCGACTGAATTGAACTGAAGGCTAGGTCTTAAAGAATTTAACTAGTATGACCTGGACAATCCTTAAGTTAGTAAAAATAAGATTGACTTTTTAAACACATGATTTTGATTCAGTTGGCCGTTGTTGATTCCCCTTGTACTACTTGCATAAGTTTTTCTTTATTTGCATAAGTTTTGACAGCAGCTTCTCTGGTACCTCGGCTGGCAAAGAATCCACCTGTAATGCTGGAGATTCGACCCAGTTTGATTCCTGGGTCAGGAAGATCCACTGGAGAAGGGAAAGGCTACCCAACTCTAGTATTGTTGGGCTTCCCTTGTGGCTCATCTGGTAAAGAATCAGCCTGCAATGCGGGAGACCTGGGTTCCATCCCTAGGTTGGGAAGATCCCGTGGAGAAGGCAAAGGCTATCCACTCCAGTATTCAGGGCTGAGGAATTCCAGGGCTGTATAGTCCATCGGGTTGCAAAAAGAGTTGGACACATCTGAGCAACTTTCACTTTCAAGTTTTGATAGCTAGAGTTTACCTCATTGTAAAAACCAGTAATTTAGACTTGAACAACAGCTATTGTTGTCTGTATTTATATTTATTTTATTGTACAGTCATTTACACTATACCCTTAGTAGAAAGAGAATATACTGATAAAATGTTAAACAAGAGTGATGACAAAGATAATAATGTCAATCTCAGGGTTACTTGAAAATACAGATTTTCCTTTCATACTGTACAGTTGCCCAGTTAGAGTGTGGTTCAGATTTATTGTGTTTCAAATTCTAGTTGAACTCAGCTACAGAGTTCTGGATAAAGTTTCATACTTATCTTCTTACCTGCAATCTAGGTCTCTACTTTTCTCTAATTTATGAGATTTTATTTAAGAAAAAGATTTGTGAATGTTTGAAAAATGATACTTTAACAAGTGTTCACAATAAATTTATTTTCATGTATGTAATATATTTGTCATAAAGCGAGTACTATTTTTACTTTAGCTGATTGCCCTGCCTGTATGTTGCAGGGAGGAGAGTTAATAGGGAAATGGTTATTGATTAATAGTACCACATGATATTATTTTTAACAGAAGTGAATTTTGGTGGTGTGGAAACTTATTTTTCAGGTTGAAGCACTCAATAAACTAAAAACTTTAAATAGTTTAATCAAACTGAATGCAATGACGCTAAATAGAGCCAAAGGGAAAGAAGCGATGCACACTTGTTTAAAACAGAATGCTTACCGTGAAGCGCTCTCTGACCTGCAGTCACCTCTGAACCCATGTGTTATCCTCTCAGAACTCTAGTAAGTGACCTTCTGTACTGTGCTTGGTGAACTTCCCTTTAAATAGCATTGCAGGAGGGATTTCCGAGTGACTGCTTAGGGGAGCAGTGAAGACAGCTGTTGGTAATTGGAATATAATTAAAGAAGGAAACTCTTAAAGTTCTCTAAAGTTATTCTCATGTTAATGGGATGTTTACCTTCTAGCTAATTTACCAGTGGGCTTAGTGGAAGTTAAGTTCCTTTCAATTGTATGTAATTAAATTTGTTTTCTATATTACTGCTTTCTTAGAGTTGGAAGTCTTATGTAAGCAAAATGTTGGCAGCCATCATAGATTATTTACTAATTAAACTTTCCTTCAAAATGAAATTTTTGAATGAATTTAGAAAATGATTTCTTATTTTACTTTTCCTGCAAAAGTAACAATGGGAAAGTAATAATTATGTTCAGTATATCAGGATTCAAAGTTGATCCCTCTTTAGGAAATCACGAATGAACTCACAATCCAGTGTTATATTCTGATTGTTATTGTCCATGTATGATAACAAAAGTTAAAGAAGAATAAGGAAAGAAAAGGAGGAGCTTTAAATATAGTGGTGAGAAGGGCAAATCTGGATTTTCAGTTCAGCTCATTTGTCATCACTGCATGCTGACCAAGGCTAGTGTCACAGTTGCTTTTCTGCCAAGAGGAAATGTTCTAGTTCTGTCTTCTGTAGACCTGAATGGAACAGGTGAGGGGTTTTCCCAGGCCTACTATATCATGGCAACATTACAGTCTTGCTATGTGTTTTAACTGAAATGGGCTAATTTTTCCCTTTCTTCCCTCAGTGTTGAGAAGTGTAAATACATGGATTCCAAAATGAAGCCTTTGTGGCTTGTGTACAACAACAAGGTGTTTGGTGAGGATTCAGTTGGAGTGATTTTTAAAAATGGTGATGGTATGTACTGAGTTCTTTACAGTGCCAAATTCCTTAGTAGTTTTCATTTGTTGTCTGTTTGCTTTCTCTGAAAGGTGATGTGAAAATGTAGAACAAACAGATGGCAGCCAATCAGTTCAGTTCAGTTTCATTTCAGTCGCTCAGTCGTGTCCGACTCTTTGCGACCCCATGAATCGCAGCATGCCAGGCCTCCCTGTCCATCACCAACTTGTTGGAGGCTAATTACTTTACAATATTGTAGTGGTTTTTGCCATACATTGACATGAATCAGCCATGGATTTACATGTGTTCCCCATCCCGAACCCTGCTCCCACCTCCCTCCCCAGAGTAAGCTTCTTTTAATTTCATGACTGCAGTCACCATCTGCAGTGATTTTGGAGCCTTTTATGGCAGCCAATAGGTAGCTGTTAATGGTCATTAAGTTGAATTTGACCTCATAAACCCCCTTTTTTTCTCCTTTTGGAAAGTGATTTGTATAGCTTACTTACATGTATTGTTCTAATAAACCTTCCCTTTCCCCTACAAAATACAATGCTGTGTATTCCTTGGTTAAAAGCTTGTAAAGTATAACAGAATATTTTTGATATGTTCATAGCATTGTTTCAGTGATAGCAATTTTGATATTGCTGCCATAGTTTTATATTTTAATTAAAACATTTTACCCATATTTTATAAAAGAAATACCTCTGAAGTAATCACACCAACCAGAAGGTAGTCATGATTGCTACTATTCATCAGTTTTGTGATTGCAGGCAAATCTTGTAAAATTCATTGAGCTTCAGGTTCTTCCTGTTCCTGAAGATTATATCTTCTTTGTGTTGGGTCTGTTAAATGGAATTAAGTGAACCTAAGTGTATGTGCTTACAACTATTTTTAAAAGAAATTTAAAATTCTGGAAAAAACTTAACAGAACAGTTATTTTCCAGTGTTTTTTTCCAGCCAGTTAATTCTGGCTGAATTAGTTAATCTTAAGTTAATGTTATTAAGCATAAAGTATAAAGCACTTATATAAGGGCTTTTCCCCCTTAGATTTATGGCAGGGTATGTTGACACTCCAAATGCTGCGCTTGATGAATTTACTCTGAAAAGAAGCTAGTTTGGACCTTCGGTAAGATTCCTAGTGAATTTCTTTTTATCTCATATTGTATTCCTTCCACAACAAAGTTTCAAAAACTTCTTGTTGATTTCTTCCTGATATTATTATTGGTTGTTGTTCATAATCATATCCATATAATACTTTATAGTTTACAACAATCTCTCAATACATTGTCTTACTGAAACCTCATCAAGTGTAAAACTACACTTGTGACAGCAAGAGTCACATCCTAATCTGGTTTTGGAGGTGGTCTCAGGAAAGATGCACTGGTGGTCGCGAGACTGATAAGCCAGAGAAGGGCCTGTGCCTCTTCTTTTTCAGCCTAGTAACCCTGATTCTTCTAACTTTCCTGAAAGGGAAGTCTTTAGATGGACTTTCAGGAATTTTTGCTTGCCACCATTGTGAGGGGTAGACAGTGAGCAGAACAGGTTTATGGTGACAAAGAAAAAGGAAACATAATGGATTTTTAAAGTTCAATTATTATAAATCTTTTAAGATAAAGAGCAGATAATTGCAAACACTGTTGATATATTTAATTATATAAAATATAAGGTTCAAGTGTCAGCAAACCAAAGTCAAGCCTCACCCCAGGTGTTATATTCTTAATGAACAGGACAGGGGGATAATAATTCTGAATATTAAAAGAGTCTATAGAAGTAAATACATAGGGAGAAGATGTGAAAATGCTGTTCAAGTTATAAATAAGCTAATAATTATGCAAATACCATTAGTTCTAAGGTAGAAGTTCAAATTAAAAGAACAATTAGATGCCATTGATTCTTACCAAAAATTATGTTAAATTAAATACAGTCTGGAGCACTGTTGCAGCAACAGAAACACAAATATTGTCATATGCCATTGTAAATTAATATAAACCACTCTGTATCATTTATTTATACTCTATATCCAATATTTCCTTAATTTAATTTAAAGTTAAAAATGTGAAAAGAGATTTATGCACAAAGGTACTAATTCTTGCTTTATTTACAGTAAGAAAAAAAATTGGACCACCCTTTTCAACGTTTGCTCAATAGTATAATGGTTTAAAAAATGATGAGCTTTCACATATGACAAAACATCTCAGGCATTTAAAAGTATTGTTTATAGAGAATTGCTATCAGTTGGAGAAAGTACTATCTTCAAACATCAAGTGAAACAAGTGAGATGCAAAAAATATTTTAATAGAATGATTTCAACCATTTGAAAAACTTCCTGAAAAATGACACACATTTTAAAATGTTTACAGAAACTAAAATGGTATAATAGACATTACTTATGGGTGGTGGGATTAAAGATGATACAATCCCCTCTGCCCTTGGTACACCTGGTTCTCTAGTTTTCTACAGTGTACTCCTTTTAAGGAGATAAAAACATTAAACATATTTCATGATATAATATAGGGCCATACAGTTAAAAAGATTTTTCCATGCTAGTTATTAATAACTTCATCTTTTACTTAATTCTTCATTTTTTTAAACTGTAAAATATTTTAAACATGAAATATCGATGATAATTGACAATATTTTTGTGCTCTTAAACCCAGATTTGTGTAGCTATTTAATAGTTTAATGACAGATGTTAACATGTTTTCATATTTACTTTTTTAAAAGACAAATTAAATATGCAGATAAAATTGATGCATTCTTATGATCTTCTCCTTCTTACAAATCAGGATTTACCATTATTCTAAACTGTAATACATGTATGTTTGTGCTTTAACTATATATTATATATCCATTGAATGTTTTGAACTTCCAATAAATAACTATTGTATCACATGTAATCTTTTGCAGTTTACTTTTATTACATGTTTTGAGATTTACCAAGATTAATATGTGAAGTTCTAATTTGTTATTTTCACTTCTGTATTAATGTTTTGAGTAAATGCAAAAATTTATCCATTCCCCTATTAGTAGCTATTTGTGTTCATTTGAACCTAAAGTTTGTACACTTCTCTTTACTTACATTTGGAAGAGTTCTTTAGTTTATATAGCCAGAAGTGGAATTGCTGGGTCATAAATCATGTATATCTTCAGCCTTACCACTGTTGCCACGTGGCTTCCAAAATGTTTATACCAGTGTTATGTTTCTCCCCAGAAATATCTCCTTGCCAACCAGACTTGTTAGTTTTTTGCAAATCTAGTGGATATCACATGGTGTCTCATAGAGTTTTAATTGGCATTTCTTTGGTTGAATAATTTTTCGGTGTTTATAATTAGTGTGTTTTCTCTCTGTTGTGAATTACCTAGGTTACTTTAAGGTTTATGCTTTTTGTATTATTTTTAAAAAATCCTTCACTGTGCAGTTATCTTAAAGATGTTATCTTCTATTTTCTGAATTTTAAACTTGACTTATTTTTTATCTCTGCAAAAGTTTAGTCCTAGTATTGACTTTTTTGGGACTTAGGTTTTTTTGACTATTCTTCTTGAGTCCCTTTTGAGGCTAAAAGTTGTCTATTTCTTCATTGTTTTTTAAATTTATTACTGTACTATTTATAATATATTCTTGTAATTTTCCAACTTCTGCTGTGTTTAATTTTTTCTCCTTCTACATTTGTAAAATTATTTTGTATGCAGTATATTAGTCTTCTCTAGATTAGTCTTAGAGGTTTGCATCTTAGTATTTTTAAAGAATGGGCTTCTAATTTTTCTGTTTTTATCATTGATTTCATCTTTATAGTTTCCTTCCTTTTGCTTGTGTTAATTCTGTTTCAGATTTTTTGAAACAGTACATTGTATGTGTTAGTCGCTCAGTCATGTCTGACTCTTTGTGACCTCATGGACTTCAGCCTGCCAGGCTCCTCTGTCCATGGAATTCTCCAGGCAAAAATACTGGAGTGGATTGCCATTCCCTTCTCCAGAGGATCTTCCCAACCCAGGGATCAAACCCTGGTCTCCTGCATCGTGAGCAGATTCTTTACCATTTGAACTATAGGGACATTAATTTCCTTTTTTTAAAACCATACATATATTTCTTCTAACTGCCTTAACTGCTTCCCATAAATTTTTTTCCCTTAAGTTTTAAAATATACTTATTTGTGCTTTTTTATAATGCATCTCACTATATAGAATTTACTTCTAAATGTTTTATTATTTCCATTTTTATTTCTTCAAGTCCTGAACTAGTTTAAATTATTTGGACTCCCAAATTACATTGAACTTTTTTGTTGTTGGTGTCTCTATGATGTCTTAATTTTATTGTACCTGACTACTGTCAGATTTTGTGGTCTGTGTAAGATTAATGTCATATTTCTAAAGATTATTTATGTATTACCATAAGCCCAGTTTTTCTAACTATCACATTGAGTGTGATATTCATTGATTGAAAATATTTCAGATGCTGTAGTTATTAACTGTAAGATCATAAACTGGTCTGTTATATCAAATTTGTTGATTATGCCCAGATCTCTATTCTCATTAAAGTTTTACTTGTTTGTCACTTCAGAGTTATGTTAAAACCTGCCCTTATAATTGGTATTTGTGAGTTTCTAGCTTGCAATTTTGTTAATTTTCTAATTGTGATTTTAATTTGCCTTTTCCTAATGACTAATAATGTTGGCCAGATTTTCATGTGCTTGTCAGTCATTTGTATATCTTATTTGGAGACATACCTATTCAAGTTTTTTGTTAATTTTTGAATTGGGTTATTATATTTGTCTTTTGAGTTATGAGTTTCTTATGTATTTTAGATACTAGACTCCCTAGTGGATACATTACTGGCAAATATTTTCTCCCATTCTGTGGGTTTGTTCACTTTCATGATAGTGTCCTTAGATGCACAAAATATTTACTTTGATGCAGTTCAGTTTATCTATTTTTCCCTTTAGTTTCTTGTGTTTTTGGTGTCAGGTCTGAGAAATCATTATCTAATCCAGTGTCATGAAGATTTACACCTATGCTTTCTTCGGAAAATTTTAGTTTAGCACTTATCTAGGAGGTCATTAATCCACTTTTAGTTAATATTTTTGTATGGTCTGTGGTAGGAGTCCAGTTTTGTTTTTTTGTGTGTGTTGGTATCTAGTTGTCACAGCACCATTGTTGAAAAGATTGTTCTTCATTGATTTATCTTGGCGCTTGTGTCAAACATGAATTGACTATAAATGTGAGGGAATTTTCCTAGAATCTAAATTCTATTTCATTGACCTATATATCTTATTTCTATACATAGTCTTGATTAATTTGTAGTAAGTTTTGAAATTGGGAATTGTCTGCCTATATTCTCTTGTAGGAGTTCTGTGGTTTCATGTCTTACATTTAGATCTTTAATCCATTTTGAGTTTATTTTTGTATATGATGTTAGAAGATAGTGTTTTCATTCTTTATATGTAGCCATCCAGTTGTCCTAGTGACACTTATTGACGGGACTGTCTTTTCTCAGTTGTATAGTTTTGCTTCCCTTGTCCTAGATGCGTTGATCCATTAAATGAGTTTACTTTTGGACTCTCTGTTCTGTACCATTGATTTATGTGTCTGTTTTCGTGCTGGTTCATGTTGTTTTGATTATTGTAGCACATTCTGAAATCTAGGTATGTGATAAAATTCAGGATTATTCTAGTCCTTTGAAAAATGTCATGGTATTTGGTTCATTTAAGTAATTTCTGTCTGTTTAAATATAGACTCTGGTGATTCATCATATTTTCCCCCTAAGTTTTTGGTTTTATTTATTTATTTATTTATTTATTTTTTCCATTTATTTTTATTAGTTGGAGGCTAATTACTTTACATCATTACAGTAG